CAGACACAGACACAGACACACACACACAAACACATACACACACACCAAGCCCTGAGCAGGGAACGGCGCCCGAAGGGCTGGGGCGAGGCCACAGGCCCAACTGAGCGAGAACAGGCGAGAGAGGCGGGGAGGGACGAGCCACAGCAGCAGGGGCCAGGACAGGGGGGGCGCAACAACTTGCACACTGGCTGCGCACTGGTGCCAAGATGCGCCAAGGTAGCACTGGTGCACGCCCCATGGACCCCTGGCATTGTCAACGCACGCAAACACGGGCAGTCCAGGAAAGGCAGCACGTCAACACAGTTTGCCCGGGCGTATCTACTCACGCGACTGGACCGCCCTCTAAAGGGCATTTCTGGAACAAGAGTGTGGGAGGCTGAGGCACCAACTTTTTGGACGCCTCGATCGCCCGTTTGCCATGAAGCTTCAAGTGACCTGGAGGCCGGGTGCCCGCAAACGCCTGCTTATGCTGGTGTGCCTCGATAGCCTGCACAAGCGAAACGCTCAGACATAGGATCCCGCACAGCAATGATGAGACGCCTCTTCTTGCTGTCAAGCATTTCCTCTGTCCTAAGAGGCCAACAAAAGTGCTGGGCCGAGCTCGACCCAGGCTTTTTGTTCCTCTAGGTACTTAGCTAGAGGGCCTCCAGGGGCTCAGCACACGACTCCAAGAGGATATCACTGCTGTCGTCTTCTGAAGCGTGTCAGGATGGCCCAAGCCGTGGCCCGTCTTCCCCGTGAACCTCGGAACATACCCCTTTACGCGAGCTTTTGCTATGGCACAGTACAGTTCACCTTCCGTTTCGGGCTCGATCTGGGTCGTGCACGCGGACTTGAGCAACCGAATCTTCTGATGTGTAATCATGCCCAACTCGACTGCGAGAATCGCCGTCGCCTCCCCCGTCGGTACAACCGCACGGTACTTGATGCCACGCCCCTGCGGCTCGGCAATAGGGTGCTCGGGCCTGCATTGGAAAACTGCTCTTCCGCCGATCCCATCACTCCAAGACAACAGCCCGACGGACAGAACACCACAAACAGAGACTCGAGCCCACAAAATCAGCTTGCACTCGTACAATCACGTAGCTGGGTAGACGGTAGCTGTCCACAAAAGTACAATCTGGGAGCATCGAACGTGGGGAGCTTAACATGGCATTTATCACACTGATAAGGGGGATCAGCCATGTGCGCATGTACTGTCACCGAACCCATGCTCCCAGGACACCTCCCCCTCCTGAGACTCGGTTCCAGATGTTCCGACGCATACCTCCCGGCCGTATAGAAATTGCCACACCTGATACACTTGTTCGAGACCGTGTGCATGTTTGCTAGGCACTCGTTTCCCATGCCCTTCTGCCTGGGAGTTCTGCTGGTGCAATAACAGCCACTGTTCTCGCACACGTATGGAGCTTGATGTGGTGGCTCGGGCACCGAGGGAGGTGGGGCCGCGTCCACTTGTTGTAGGTTCCCTTATGATCCTTGTTCCTCCTGCCCACCTTCACATCCACTTCCGTCTTGTGCAATCGCCTCCGTTCCCTCCCGGCCATTGTCCTCTACGGTCACCTTCTCCTCAGCCTGGGCCTCCTCGCAAAAAAATATCCGTGAACACCCTCGGTCCTTCTTTCCAATTCTTGAGCGTCGTAATAGATACCCTGAGCACAGCATCCAGCACTTCCTGATAACAAAAAGAGACACTGGTTTTCCGCGCCACTTTGGTTTTCCGCGTTTTTTTTGTCTTTGGCGCCCTGTCTGTCTTCGGAGCTTCTGTTGTTTTCGGCGCACCTTTCGTTTTCGGCGACCTTTTGGTCATCGGCGCCCCTCTGGTTGTTCGGCGCCCTCCAGATTGTTGGCGCATCTTTGGTTTTCGGCGCCCCCTTGATGAGAGCTGGCGCAGCGCGCCCCTGAAAAAAAGTGCTGACGCTTTTGACGCTCCTGACGCTCTTAACGCTCTGGCGCTTCTGACGCTCCTGACGCTCCAGGCGTCAAAGCGACAGGAGCGTCAGGGGCGTCAGGGGCGTCAGGGGTGTCAGGATCGTCAGAGCGTCAAGAGCGTCAGGAGCGTCAAGAGCGTCAGGGGCGTCAGAAGCGTCAGGGAGCGTCAGGGAGCGTCAGGCAGCGTCGGGGGCGCCGGGGGGCGTCAGGAGCGTCAGGAGCATCAGAGCGTCAGGAGCGTCAGGGAGCGTCAGGGAGCGTCAGAAGCGTCAGGAGCGTCAGGAGCGTCAGAGCGTCAGGAGCGTCAGGGGCGTCCTAGGGGCGTCCACCACTCTGGCGCCGCCGCCCGAGACATCCTCACAATTCTGGCGCCGCCGTTCGAGACATCCTCACAACTCCGGCGGCGCCGCTCGAGACATCCTCACAATTCCAGCGCCGCCGCTCGAAACATCCTCACAACTCCGGCGCCGCCGCTCGGGACATCCTCACAACTCCGGCGCCGCCGCTCGAAACACCCTCACAACTCCGTCGCCGCCTCTCGAGACGTCCTCACAACTCCGGCGCCGCCGCTCGAGCGTCAGGAGCGTCAGGGGCGTCAAGAGCGTCAGGAGCGTCAGGGTCGTCAGGAGCGTCAGGGAGCGTCAGGGAGCGTCAGGGAGCGTCGGGGACGCCGGGAGCGTCAGGAACGTCAGGAGCGTCAGAGCGTCAGGAGCGTCAGGGGCGTCAGGAGCGTGAGGAGCGTTAGGAGCGTCAGGAGCGACAGGAGCGTCAGGAGCGTCAGGAGCGTCAAGAGCGTCAGGAGCGTCATGGGCGTCCACATTGCCGGCGCCGCCGCTCTTGACATCCTCACAGCTCCAGCGCCGCTGTTCGAAACATCCTCACAACTCCGGCGGCGCCGCTCGAGACATCCTCGCACAACTCTGGCGCCGCCGCTCGAAACATCCTCACAACTCCGGCGCCTCCGCTCGAGACGTCCTCACAACTCCGGCGCCGCCGCTCGATCGTCAAGAGCGTCAAGGGCGTCAGGGGCGTCAGGGGCGCCAGAAGCATCAGGAGCGTCAGAGCGTCAGGAGCGCCAGCGTCCACAGCTCTGGCGCCGCCGTTCGAGACAACCTCGCAACTCCGGCGCCGCCGCTCGAGTCATCCTCGCACAACTCCGGCGCCGCCGCTCGAGTCACCCTCGCAACTCCGGCGCCGCCGCTCGAGGCATCCTCGCAACTCGGGCGCCGCCGCTCGAGGCATCCTTGCAACTCCGGCGCCGCCGCTCGAGACGGATGGCTGCTGGCCCCCCAGCCCTTCGCGCGACCATGGCCCGATGGGCCCCCGAGGAGGGCTCCGTCGCGGCCCCGAGGAAACGGCCCAAGAGCCTCTGTAGGCCCTAGTGGGCTCGCTTCAAGAGGGCGTCCATGCCGCCCTGTGCCGTCTCGGAGGCCACTGTCCTGACCTTCCAGGAGGGCCAAGAAATAACACCAGGACGTCGACGTCCTAATTCGTGTCGAGGTTTGAGGCAGTCCAGATAGATCTATAGGTCTGGAGTGCTATTTTCTAGCACTCTGGAAGGTCACTGTGTGGGTTATCGGCGCCATCTCGGGGGCCCTCTTAGGCTATCTTGGGTCATCTCCGCGGTTGATGGCCCGCGCGCGGGCGGGCGGTATCACGCTGCGTCCCCCCTTGCCGCGGTTGGGTGATCTCGTGCATCGCCATCGCCGCCATCATCGCTGTAACCATTTGGGCTCAAGCCAGGGCGCAGGCTTTCGCGGATCGCGTCTTCGGCCACCAGAGAGTCTATCCCGCCGAGGAGAGGCCCGGCCGGAGGCCCGCCGCCGCGGCCCAGAAAAAGGCCCACCTGGAGGGATTTGCGCGGCTAGCGCGGCGCAGAGCCGGCCCAGGCGCGGCCGCTGCCGCCGCCGCCGGACCCTTCCGCGGGCCAGGCCGCTCGGCCGAAGCGGGGGCCGGGAGCGCCGGCGCACCCGCGCAAAGCGCGGGCGCCTCGGGCTGCCCTGCCAGAGCTCGGCCCGCGCGACGCAGCGGCGCTGGACGCTGCGCTGGCCCGGCGGGACTTCGCCCGCTCAGGCGTCGACGCGCGGGCAGACCATCGGGCGCGCCTGGCGGCGCGCTTGCGCGCGGGGCGCACGCAGGGCGCGCTGGCCCGACTGCTCCAATGTGGATTTGTCGGCGGCGACGGCCGCCAGGCTGAAACGCTGGCCCCGCGGGCAGGGCTCGCTGGCAAACTTCGGGGCGAGGAGGTTGTCGTCCTCGACGCCTGCGCGCGCCGCGGCCGTCTTCGGTGCGACGTGGCCCCCGTAGTCCAAGGCTCTGGGAAGGGCCCCGCTGGCGGCACGCACGTGCTCAAGACGAGTTTGCGGCGTGGTTTGACCACGCGTGCTGGCCCTGATCTCACGGACGCGCAGCATCGGTGACGCTGCGTGTCTATCGTCCGCGGGGCTCCCTGGATGGCGCGCGTGCCCGAGAGCGCGCGCGAGTCCTGCGGCTCCCGGCCGAGCGCTCTCGTGGAAGACGCGCAGATGTTGCAGTCCTTCCGCCACGCCCTCGCCGGCATGAGCGCCGCGGCGCCCGCGTGCCAGCGGCCCGCGGCGTCGGTCCTCGTGATCCCGGAATCCGCAGACGATCGCGCTCAGCAGTTCCGGCACCAGGTCGCGCGTCAGCAGGGGGAAGCCGCGCTGCAGCCGAGCGGGGAATGCAGGCGCGGGAGCTACCTCTGGGACTTCCCGAGGCCGGTGCAGCTGGACCGTCAGAGTGGGGTATGTTTCACGTGCAGGGCTGTCCACGAACATGGGCGTTGCTTGCTGGCGCCGCGCAGCGGGCGCGGCGACGACGTCGGGCATCGCCGCTACTTCCCAGTGACCGACGCGGGCGCGGTGCGCGTCGCCCCTGACGCGATCGTCATCCGCGGCAACGCGGCGGAGGGCGGGCAGAAGGAGGGCCGCTGAGGCGCGTCTGGCAGGTTCCTGGCGAGATTCCTCTTCTGCCTGAATGACACGCTGAACTTCCGCGAGTGCCGTCGGCAGCTGCTCGGGGAGCGCGCCGCCGCTGCGCGCGGCGCGGAGGCGGGCTTGAGCGACGCCGACGCGCGGGCCGCCCTCTTCAACATCGCCCTCGCCCTCCCCAAGCGCAAGATTTTGCGCGTGATCGCCCTGCGCGCCTTCTTCGCCCCGATTTCGCGGGCTGCTCGGGGAGTGCGTCGCCGCTGCGCGCGGCGCGGAGGCGGGCTTGAGCGACGCCGACGCGCGGGCCGCCCTCTTCAACATCGCCCTCGCCCTCCCCAAGCGCAAGATGTTGGGCATGATCGCCCTGCGCGCCGTCTTCGCCCCGATGTCGCGGAGAGTGCCTGAGATGCGGCGCCTGCTGAGTCTCGACAACGGCTCCGGGCTGCGCGTGGACGGCAATGAAGAAGATTTGGAGGTGCCGGCAAGGCTCGCCAGAAGCCCATCAGTTCCGCGCTTGGCATCTGCGGGGCGGACGGATCTCCCCTGCTGCCTGCCGCCCCCGTCCGCGGGGAGGCCGGGGTGGACATCGAGCGCGTGCTGCGCCCTCTGCTCGCGGACGTCGTCTCCTCTCGCCAGGCCGCCGGCCGGCGTGTCCTTGGATGAAGCGTGCCCTGCGTTCGTCGGCGCCGACTCCTACATCAAGCACTCCAAGAAGTGCGCCGACGTGGTGGGCGAGGCGTGCCAGCTTGCCCGGGTGCGGACCGCTGGCGCCACTCCGCGCGGCCCAGTCGCCGCGCGCGGCATAGTCGCGCCTCCCGTCGGCGCGCCCGTGGCGGGCGAGCCGTTTCACGACGTCCTCAACGCGAGGAGGTGCCAGGACCCGTGGGCGAACGATAGCTCGGATCCAGTTGGCTTCGCCGCATCCGCCGCCCCTGGATCTCTGCTGGCCCATCGAACGGCCGGGCGCCAGAGCCCAGCCAGCACCGTTTCATTTGTTCGGTTACCCCCGCAGGGGCGACGGGGCATGGCGCGAAGAGGAGCGCGGCCGCGCGCCTTGACGGGCGCGGAGAGCGACGGCCCCGGCGGACTTCCGCCGCGACCACGCTGACCTGATCGGCCGGGCGAACGCGCCCCGCGGCCCACCCGAGGAGCCGCAAGGCGCGCCTCCCGCGCCGGCGCTTGGAGAGCGCGGGCGCGACCTCTTGCGGACCGCCGTGGCTCAGTCTGCCGCGTCCTTCTTAGGACGCGCTCGCGAAGGATCCAGACGGCGCGCGCGATTCGCGCGCGTTCTCTCGTCGCCATGGGGTTCTCCGCGCGAAAGGCGTCTGGAAGAGCGCGCTCGGCGCGCGCAGTCTTGGGCCGTCGCTGCTTCGTGCTGGCCCTCCGAAACTAAGACCGTAGGAGAGGAAATTTTCAAGTTTCTCACACTTGGCATTCCTGCGGTTTTTGTAAATGCATTTCCACAGTTCTGCGTTGCCCGCGTGGATCGAAGATGACGCCATGTATTCCCAGCAGAGCGAATGCGTCCATGTCGTGCTCGAGCCCGAGAGCTCTGCGGCCGGAGCAAGAGTTGGCGGGCGCCGCTCGCCAGAGTTTGCAGTGAGATGCAGGGTGGCGCAATGCCTTTTTTTAATTCGTTGCAGGGGCGACGGCGACGCTGCCCTACCTCCCGTGGTTGGGCCAGCCGCTAATCATTGCACTGCCTTCGGCCCATCCCACCACCGCGCCTGGGTTCGCGGCCGTGGGCTTCTTGGATGTCCGTCGAGATGTCGCGGGAGACCTCTCGAGAACCTCTTGGAGGCAGTCGCGATGTCTCTTGGGGGTCGCCGAGAGGTTTCCAGGGTGCCTCGGGAGCTTCTTGGGGGGGAGGGTGGAAGGGGGAGTTCTTGAGGGGGGGGGGGGGCTCTGGGGGCCACCCGGTAGCACGTTTGGGCGGAAGGCCCGAGCTGTCGGGTCCGGCTCAACCCCGGGAAGCACGCGACGAGGATTAAAGCTTGGGGTATTAAGCAGGGGACCTGGGGGCATTTCAACTTGCGCCTGAAAGCGCGGTGGCGGATTCGGCCACCCTGTTCGTTTTCATTTTCCTCCACTCCTCCTCGCCCATCGGCCGCCGCGTCAGCGAAATACGTGCCTGTCTATGAAAAACGCACCCGTCATCTCAAGTTTGCCAAACCCTCCCCCCTTCATCGACTTCCTCTTCCCCCTCGTGCTGCCGCCCGCGCTCGCAGAGAGCAGGGTGGGGCAGGGGTGCCAAGACGATGAGGGAGAGGAGAAACACAAGAAGGAACTTGTGGAGGAGGAATACCCAGACATGCGACGTCCTGATTTTTTCAGGACGGCGCCCCCGCAAGTCCCGACCCTTTCCCCGGGGCCGGTTTTTCATCCTGAATCGTTTTTTGACGGTCCCGAGGCCCGGCGAAGGCCTCCAGAGCCCGAAATCGGCGAAAAACCTCCGTCCTGAATTTTTTTACGACGCAAGCACGTCTGGGATATACTTCGCGCGGGCAGGCGACACCGCGTTGCGTGTCCCCCCACCCCAGCGAATTTGCGGTGCTTTTGGTCTGCGCGCTCCTGGCGGCCCTGGCCAGGCCCGACGACGGCCCCCTTACTTAGGGGCTGACATCTTGCCGGAAGCGTCGTCGTCGTTTCTGCCGCCGCCGCCGCTCCCGCCGTCGTCGCCGCCGTCGTCGCCGTCGCCCAATCATCGTCGTCGTCGCCGTCGGTTTCGGGCCCCTTTCGGGCCCCTTTCGGGCCCCGTTGCCTTCGGAAGCGGATCCGGCATCCAAAATTGACACGGGAGGAGGCCCCATGGGACGACGTCATCGTCGGCGTCGTCGTCGTCCGTCGTCATCATTATCGTCGTCGTCCGTCGTCGTCGCGGGCCGTCCTTGTCCTCGTCGTCGCCGTCGTCCGTCGATCGTCGACTTCGTCGTCGTCGTCGCGCAACTCGTCGTCGACGTCGCCGCCGCCGACGTTGTCGTCGCCGTCGTCGATCGTCGTCGGAGTGTTTTTTGGGATTTTCGAGGGTCTTCGGAAGTCTTCGGCGGTCCTAGGAAGTGTTCGAAGGTTCTCGGAAGCTCTTGAAAGTGTCGCCGAAAACTTTCAAATCCTCGAGGGCTCTCGGAGATACTTGGATGCTTCCGTGGTCCTCGCTGCCGCCGCCGCCGCCGAAGACGTCGTCGCCGCCGCCGCCGCCGCCGCCGCCGCCGTCGTCGTCGTCGTCGTCGTCGTCGTCGTCGTCGTCGTCGTCGTCGTCGTCGTCGTTGTCGTCCTCGTCGTCGTAGTATGTCGTCGATTTTTCGTCGACCCCCGACCTTCAAGGATTCTTGCTCGTTTCAGGCCTCTGCGGGCCGCTTTCTGGGCCCGGGACCGTCGGATCCAGGACGAAAACCCATTTGTTGTCGTCGCGCAAGTCCTCCCCGTCCTCCCCTGCCGAGGGTCGAGACTCGTCCAAACCTTCCGCCCCCTCTTCCGCGCCCTGGGACGCCCTCGCCGCCGCGGCTGGAGAGCGCCTCGAGTCTGGCCAGCGCGCGCCCCTCGACAGGTCCACGGGCCGATTTTTCGGGGAGGCTCGAAGCTCGAGGCTCGAGGTCCGGAAGACGAGGCTCGACCTTTCTCAGCGCCCTCGGCCTCTGGAGGCCGCTCCCCGGCCAAGGGGCCCGCTGCGGTGGAGGAGCAATGTGGTCGCAAGAGGAGCCTCGGCCACGGGACACCTCCCACAAGACACGCCGGTCGTTGAGAGTAGGTATTTTTCGATCCCCAGATCCCACTCTACCTCAAGCGCCTTCCTACTCCAAGAACCGGCATGCTTCTGCTGTGCCTTGTTATTCTTTGGGAGGACCTGGACCCAATCTGCTATAGCCGCCTGCCTGCTTCCTGCTCCTGCCTGCGTCTTCCGACCGGCGTGTAAGCTCGGTCTTGAAACCCAGGGATTCCCGTCGATCTGTAGCGCGGGAACTGTGGCTTCTCACTGCAAAATCTCAGGAGGGAAAAAAATCCTCGATTCTCACATAGACACAATGAATCCTCGATTCCCGGAAAATATGGGGAAATATGGGAGGTGGGGGGGGAGACAGAAACCCAGAAGATATGGGAAAATAAAGGGGGACATCTTTATTTGCGTGTCTTTATTTGTGTTTCTTTGGGCCCCTTCAAAATGAACTGGTGGCGCAGCGGTGGCCCCAGAGCGCGCGGCGGCGCCGGAGCTGTGAGGATGTCTCGAGCGGCGGCGCCGGAGTTGAGAGGATGCCTCGAGCGGCGGCGCGGGAGCTGTGAGGATGTCTCGAGCGGCGGCGCCGGAGTGATGAGGATGTCTCGAGCGGCGGCGCCAGAGTTGTGAGGATGTCTCGAGCGGCGGCCCCGGACGTTCCTGGCGCTCCTGACGCTCTGACGACCCTGACGCCCCTGACGATTTTCACGCTCCTGACGCTACTGGCGCTCCTGACGCTCCTGGCGCTCCTGACGCTCCTGACGTTCCTGGCGCTCCTGACGCTTTTGACGCTCCCGACGCCCTGACGCTCCTGACGCTCCTGACGCCCCTGACGCTCCTGATGCTCCTGACGCTTTTGGTGCTCGTGACGCCCTGACGCTCCTGACGCTCCTGACGCTCCTGACGGCCCTGACGCTCCTGACGCCCCTGACGCTCCAGGCGGCAGGGGTGTCAGAGGCGTCAGGAGCGTCAAAAGCGTCAGGAGCGTCAGGAGCGTCAGGGGCGTCAGGAGCGCCAGGAACGTCAGGAGCGCCAAAAGCGTCAGTAGCGCCAGGAGCGTCAGGGCGTCAGGAGCGTCAAAGCGTCACCGCTGCGGCACCACTCCCCTTGATTTTCGGTGCTCCTTTAGTTTTTGGTGCACCTCGGCTGTTCGGCGACCCTTTGATTTTCGGCGGCCTTTTGGTTTTCGGCGCCCATTCGGTTTTCGGTGTCCTTTTCGTTTTCGGCGACCTATATATGTTTCCGGATCATCTTTTGTTTTTGGGGTCTCCTTTTGTTTGCGGTGCTTTTTTGGTTTTCGTCCTCCTTTTGGTTTTCTGCGCCCGCTTGGTCGTCGGCGCCCACTTGGTTTTCCGTGCCCTTTGGGTTATCAACGCTCGTTCCTTTAGCCAAGCAAGGGGGGGGTCTTTGAAGCCCCTCCCCCCTTCCCTGAGCCAAAAAGAGGGGGAGGTGAGGGGGGGCTTCCAGCAGGGGATGTTCAAAGGGGGGTGGGGGTAGTTAAGCCCCGCCCCCCTGTGGGAAGGGAGAGGGGCGGGGGTAGCTTCCGGAGCGCGAAGGGGGGGGGAGGGGGGGGATGTTAAAGGGGGACCCCCACTTTTTGGGGAGTGAGCGATGGGCGTGGTCTCTCGATCCTAGGGATTCCCTCAGCTTCTGAGGGCACATCCTCAAGATTGTCATCGCACTGGGCTTGCCGATCTAAGGGGTCGGGAGACATTCGAGCCTGAACTTCTCGGGCATGATTTCTGAGTGCGCGGCAAACAGCTTTCCCGACCCCTTGGGCTGGCCTGTCGTCCCGGGTCCGTATGTTTGATGGCCCCCAGGCCCGATGTATAGCGGGCCCCAGAGGTCGGGCAATCCAGGAGACCGCCGGATGGAAACAAACTCAGATCTGTCCTCGGATCTCTGGGGCTGACAGTGCCGCATGCCGGTGTCGACTGCCGCCGCCGCCGCCGCCGACGACGACGGCGGCGGCGACGACGACAACGAGGAGACTGCCGCCGCCGCCGCCGACGACGACGGCGGCGACGACGACGACGAGGAGGCTGCCGCCGTCGACGGCGCCGACTGCCGGCGGCGACGGCGCCGCCGGCGCGCGCGGACCTGCAGGCGGGCGATGTCCGGCGGCTACGGCGCCCCGCACGCGGCTGGCGGCGCCCCGGCCGCCGTCGGCTACCCGGGCGGCTACCCCGGCGGCTACCCCGGCGGCTTCGCCGGCGCGCCCGGCGCGGCCCTCGGGGCCGCGGTCGTCACGCGCGAGGCAAGACATGCTCGCGTCGTAAAGTTTTCAGGACGGAGGTTTTGGGCCATTTTCGGCTCCGGGGGGCCCTCGCCGGGCCCCGGGACCGTCAAAAAACGGCTCGGGACGCAACATCGGTCCCGGGGAAAGGGTCGGGGCTTCTGGGGGAACGGTCCTGAAAAAAAACACGACGTTGCATGTCTGGGAAAGGGATCCTGTTGCTGCAATCGTTCTACCCCACTTCGCCCCAATGGCGGGCCCCGGGGCCCTCACATATATCGATCTGGCTCGGAGCATGACGTGACGCAGGAAGATGTGGTCCGGGTCTCCGGTCGCGATTGTTCACGACGTTGCGCTTGTTTCGCAGCGTCAGATCTCAGGGTTCGCCGGCGGCTGCCGGCGGGGCTCTCGGGGACGCGGTCGCCACGCGCCTCCGAGACCCCTTCAAGTCGTGAGAGAGTCACGGCGGCAGGTCTATTTCGTGCTTTTTCTGTGTCGGGGGGCCCCTGACTGGGCCTCGGGACCTTCAAAAAACGATTCGGGAAGCAAAAAAGGGCCCAGGGAAGGGGTCCAGACATCTGGGGGTGGACGTTGTGAACAAACTCGCGACGTCGCGGGGAAAGAGAGGAACGGAGAAAACGAGCGCCGACACATCTACCAGTTACCCCTTCCTCGTCGTCATGGCTTCGGCGTCACCCCAACATACTTATACTATATGTGCGTCGGCCCCCCCGGGGAGCGGTCCGTGGAGTAGCGGTTGGGCGGCATGGGAGTCTGTCTATTTTTCCAGGCACGTTTGCGTGTCGCGCCGCCAGTTCGGTGCACCGCGCACCGTCGCGGGACGCTAGCCTTTTGGAGGACGATTCATGGAGAGGAAGCTTATTGTCAAATGATTTCCAGAGGTCGAAAACATATAAAAGCAGGTTTTACACATGAGAGAAACATGTTTGAAACATGTTCAGACCATTTCTCCTACATTTCAGACACAATTCAAATTTAATGATCGGACTGTTTGGGTGTCCATTGTCGTGACATCCCCGACGCTGGACACGTCCCAGTGCCCAGGTGTCAAGGCCCCGAGCTTTTCCCAGCCTCGGACCACAGCCCCCGCAGCTACCTGCTGAAGCGCTCGTCGATTTCATCGTGCGTTCTTCACGGCGTAGTCCAGGGCTGGACCTAGATGGTGTTTTCGGCGATTTCGTGGGCCGTTTTTGTTTCGATTTCGTTTTACGGTAAAGGCGGATTGGAGACAAAAGCGAGGGGAAAAAACGAAATCAACACGAAAACGACAAACACCGCTTAGATTCAGCCCTGGTATAGTCGCCGTAGTCATCCTCCTCATCGCTCTCTCTCTCTCTCATATGTGTTTCTCTGCATCGTTTGGCTAGCTGATCGTCTCTGTCATCCATGGTTCGCCTTCGTTGCGTCTTCCTCCTGCTCCTCCTGCTCGTCCTGCCTCGTCCTCCTCTTCTCTGTAATCGTCATTGTCGGCGTCGTCAACGTCGTCCCCAGCCTTCTCTCACTCCTCAATCGCATCCTTTTCCTCCTCCCCCCAGCCGCGATGTTTTGCTCACGTGTTCGTCTCCTCCGTCTTCTCCCCATATCCTGAGCATCATGTTGGTAAACTTGCTCGAATGGATAAGCATTGGATCACCCCCTATCATCATCCCCCTTCTCCAGTTCGGCGTCCTTGTCATGCTTATCCTCATCTTTCTGATCCTCCTCCACCTCCTCCTCCTCCCTGCTCCTCCCTGTTGCCCCCCTCATCCTCATCTCCAGCATCCTCCTGCGACAGCAACTAATTCATCAGTTCCCCCTCATCCCCCTCCTCACCTTCCCTATCATTCTCAATATCTTGTCGTCGTCCTTCTCGCCATCCTCAACATCTCTACTCGTCTTCGGCATCGCGCTCCTCGTCACCCTGCTCCTCGCTCCCCATCCCCTCCCCTCTTCCTCCCGCCTCGTGCTGTGCGCCGCAAGTCCGCGGAGCTTCTTCTTCTTCTTCTTCTTCTCGCTGGCCAGGCCGCAGACGCAGCCACCCTCGGAGCCCGCGCCGGCCTCTCGAAGCCCTGGCTGCCGGCCGCCCCACCTCGGGGCTCAAGCGACGCGGAGGCCACTGCAAACGGGGGTCGGAGCGGCGGAGGTTGGAACAAACGAACACAAAAACACACACACACAAAAGCACAAAAAAACAACAAAAAAGCACAGACAAAACACACACGGGGAACAACAAAAATACACAGGGGGCTCAAGAGACGCGGAGGTCACCGCAAACGGGGGTCGGAGCGCCGGACGTTGCAGGATCCAGCAGAGCCAGGGGTGCACTGACCCTGGCTCTGGGGGTGCAGGATCTTGCAGGATCTTGCAGCACGAGGGCCTGGCTGGCCCGGGTTTGGACTGACACGTTCGGGTGCGACTCCTGGGGGGTCAGATTCAGATTTGCCCTGGTCCGAAATCCGGCTCAGTCTGGCTTGATCCCGCCGAATCCCGCTTTTCCTGTCTCCTCCCGCGGAATCCGGTTCCACCCCGCGGAATCCGAGGCCCACTCCAGCGTAACAGCCCCCCAGTGGGGCTCCATCCTCCTGCACCTTTCCGACGCAGACCTCCCAGCAGTTGCCTCCCAAGGCTCAGGCACGGGCAGGTCCATCCCCGACTCACCTCCGCGGAGATGCGCCCCACCTCGGGCGCCGCCCTCGCGGTGGCGGCGCTGACCGCCTCGGCGGTCCGCGCCCTGGGCGCGGGCGCCGCCGAGAGGATCGGGGGCGGGCGCTGGCGCGTCAAGCGGCGGCGGCCGCAGCCGCCGGGGGGTGCGGAGGAGCTGGCCGGCGAGCCAGGTCAGCGAGGAACCCCTAGCCCGAACAACACAGTGAGGGCGTGGCCTCCCTGAGGTCCACGTCTCTGCACCAGGGATACTGTTCTTCGGCGGGCTGGTTCGGTACGTCTGCAGAGAAGATCCCTTATCCCTCATGTTTTTGTTGTTGTTGCCTCTTCTAACTCAGGCCCCCTCCGAATGTGTCAGGGGTCCTGCTTGGTTATTCACCAGGGGCGCGGGCTACGGGCGGCGGCGGCGCGGAGTGCCCGAAGGACTACACGCACCTGCTGTCCCCCGCGGAGTCATGCTGCATGTCGGGTCGGGCGACAGGCAGAGAGGTTGGATCTATCAAGCAGTGGCGGAGCGTCCTGGCTCGCCTATAGGGGCTTACCAAAGAATGGTCTAAGAACCTTTTGTGGTTCCAAGGAAATGCTCTTAGAACATTTCTGGCTGGGGAGGTTTTGTTTGAACACACCGGGCTTATGTTATGAGAACACTGCTTTCGTTCTAGAAACATCCTCGGGTTCTAAGAACATCTCGTGGGGGTTCTATAGGAACGCCGGGTCGGTCGGTCCTTTTTCAAATCTAGGGACGCGGGAGGGGGATCCGGGCCAGCCGCGGGCAGCTGGTGGCGGCCCCGCCGCCGGGCGGTGTCGTCCTCGCTGCAGGTAGCGCCTCAGGCAGAGCCAAGATTGGCCACGCGAGCTGACTCGGATTCGGCCTCCCCCCCACTTTCCTACCCCCCCCCCCATCGCCCGACCTGATGCATGGCGAGGATAGTGAAGGACCCCGAGTGCTGCACCGACGAGCTGCTCGCCAGCGGGGCCTCGCCCGTGAACGTCACCCGGCCGGGCACACACTGGCACTGTGACGACTATTACTACGACGACGACGCGGGTAGTGACGGCGGCCAGGGCGTGTGCTACGACAGCCTGAAGGGCCCCCGCGGCACGGACCAGATGTGGGTGCCGGATGGGGCCACGTGCGCCTCCCCCAGGATGCTCTACATACACGGAGGCAGCTGGATGTACGGGTCGCCCTTCACCACTGGCTATCCGCAGCTGGCCTCGAGGCTGGCGGCCGCCACTGGGGCGGTCGTCCTTCTGCCCGACTACCCGCTCGTGCCCGTCGGCAACTACACGTCCATCCTGCGCCACGCGATCGAGGCACTGCGGTGGCTGGCCGACCACGGCCCGCACGAGGGCTGCAGCTCTCACGGCAGCGCCCCCCTCTTCGTCGGCGGCGACTCCTCTGGGGGAGGGTCGGCGCTGTCCCTCGTGCTGCAGCTGCAGGCCGACCCAGACCTGCTCCCCGGCGTCCGCATCGCCGGCGCCTTCTTCTTCAGCCCGTGGACGAATCTCATGTGCAACACGCCGGAGTACTACCACCACGCCTTCGCCAGGATCTCGGACGCGGGGCTCCGGTTCGAGGACTACAGCGAGTTCGAGCAGTTCACCGGCGACATCTTGTTCCAGTCGGTCTCGCTGGAGTCTTCCAGCGACTTCAACGGGAACGCGATCGAGTACATCGGCGGGAACGCCTCCCTGCAGGTCGACCCCATCGCCTCCCCGTACTTCGCCCCTCCCCAGCACTTCGCGGGCAACCGCACGCCCGCCCTCTTCTTCGCCGTGGGGGACTCGGAGTCGATCATGGGAGACACGGTCCGGGTGGCGAACGCCGCTGGCAGGGCCGGCGCCGACGTGACCGTGGAGATCCACAGCGGCATGTGGCACTCAGGAGGGGAAGAAACACACAGACACAATGAATCGTCGATTCCCCAGAACATGTGGGAAAATATGGGACGTGGGGGGGACGACGAAGACTCCCAAAAAATATGGGGAAATATTGGTATGCTTTAATGTTTGGTGTATTTATTTAATCGCTTCACTCATTCCGCCGGCCCTGGAGCGCTATTTGAATTTGGGGCCTCTTGGGGCCGTCTTGGGGGCTTCTTGGGGGCTTCTTGGGAGCGTCTTGGGGCTCCTTGGCGGCGTATTGGGCTCCCCTGGGGCCTCTTGGGGGGCTCTTGGGGGCCCCTTGGGGCGGGAGGGGGGGGGTAGTCGATTGGGAGTCTTTTTATTTTTGGTGCAGTTTTTTGTGTGGGCTGGGGCCCCTTCAGGCACGTCTTCCCGATGTACTCGGAGGGCTGCGGCAGCGGCAGCGAGCTCTGGGCGGGCGCGCACGTGATCAACGCCACGGGCGCCTTCGTCCGCAGGGTCGCCGCGGGCCGCCTCGAGCCCGTAGGGGACCGCCGCCCGCGCCTGCACTACCTGTACAGCCCGAACCTGGACAGGTTCGAGGACAGTCGGAGCGTGAATTACCTGCCCCGCTTTCGCTTCCAGGCAAAACCAAGTCATACCACGCGCCTCCTCGTCGAGCGGCCTGACCAGCACAGGCCGTAGTTTGGCCTCGCTCGGTATCTCTTGGAAGCGAGGGTGCTCAGAGGCGAGGCAGGTCTGTTTGCCCCCTAGATGGGGGAACGAACAGTGACAGAAGCATAAAAGCTCGGAGGTCCGCGCGGATTTCTTGGAGCCGCGCTGGGGCCCCTGGCGGCGCCTCCGGCGCCGCCCCTGGCGCGCTCCGCGCGCCAGGGAGGGGGGGGTCCAGCGCGGCTCCGAGAAATCCGCGCGGACCTCCGAGCTTTTATGCTTATGCCACTCCTTGTGCCCCTGTAAAGGAGACCGGGGAGCTGCTGCCGTACACGGTGCCGGGGCGCGAGATGTACCACCAGGCCATGAAGAGTCTGTCCCGCGCGCCGATGTGGGCCGTGGTGCTGTCCTTTCTCGCCTCGGGGACGGGCGTGTTCCTGGCGGGGTGCGCGTGCGGCGGGCTCTGTGTCCACGGCGGCCAGGCAACCCTGAGGCGGGGCAGGAGGGTGGCGACGTACCGTGCCGAGAATGGCCACCTGTACACTCGGCTGGGGGACCAGGGCGCGCTCCAGCGCAAGCGCACGTTCCTCGAAGACTTCGTGCAGGACGTTCCGTCTTCTTCGAGATTCTGACACTGGGCCATCACATGAGGACCCTCTCCCGCTCGGTCAACTACCGTTGGTGGCTCCTCAGTATAGAGCCCTTGAAACAAAAACAAATGTGTTTCTTCCACTTGCTCTCCTCATCACCTCTCGTGGTATAGCACCGCATGTGGCTTCTGTTTGAGGCGGGGGCACCCAGCCACGACGTCGAGTGGGTGAGCGGTGATGAACGTATGCCATATATATATATACATATGTGTATATATAGATTCCGCGTGGGTTGGCGATTCACACTACATGTTTATTCTTAAGCTGGTGGGCTGACCCTTCAAGGTCATTGCGGCCAGCGGAGCCCAGCACTGGTCTCAGCATCCTGATCCTCCTTCACTTCCCCCGTCCCGGTGTGAGTCCATTGGACTGCTTGACCTCATCCTGCTCCGGGATCTGCGGGGGGGGGGCACTGCCTGCATCGACTGCCTGCTCCCGTTGAGGAGTGGGCTGTGACCTCTCCACGCGGACAGCTGCAATCGCTGCGGCATGCGCTGGAGGGCATGTTCTGATTACTTGCATGTCGTCGTCATTCGCTACGCCAGCACCATCAAAACATACTCAGTGGTTGTAGCCAATCGTCGCAGCCGTTGTAAAGCATTGTCCTGTTGCCCCTCGCCGTCTTCACTGTTGATCGCTTGACCGGTCCGACCTGCGTACTAAGGCTATGGTGGCTCCGCTCCGAGGTCGATATCCTGCGCATCCTTTCTGCGTTCATGTGTTCTGCTTTGCTTTGGGGATTGGAGCACTGTGCAGCATACACCTTTGCATGTCTGGCCATGGGGCAGGATGCTCGTCACATGGAAGGTGTGCTTCTTTGGGTGATGGCCCGAGTCGCCTACCGCGCCGAGTCGATTGCAGATTCACGGAGTGTGAGAGGTGGTGCGATTTACTAGGCAGATATCCTCCTCCTCCGCCTCCTCCTCCTCCTCCTCCTCCGCCTCTCCCTCCTCCTCCTCCTCCTCCTCCACCTCCTCCTCCTTCTCCTCCTCCCCCTCATCGCCCTCCCCTCCTCCGCCTCCTCCTCCTCCTACTCCTCCCCCTCTTCCTTCTCTCCTCCTCCTCTTCCTCCTTCTCCTCCTCCCCCTCCTCCTCCTCCTCCTCCCCCTCCTCCTCCCCCCTCCTCTCCTCTCTCCTCTCTCCTCTCTTCCTCCTCCTCCTCCTCCTCCTCCTCCTCTTCCTCCTCCTCCTCCTCCTCTTCCTCCTCCTCCTGCTCCTCCTCCATCCCCTCCCTCAAAGTCGCCCCCTCAACTACTCCAAGGGGGTGCTTTGACCAAAGTTTTGATGCGGATCCCGCCGAGCGGCCGGCCCGATGCACGGCCGCTTCCAGCGCGATGCCGCCCCCCTCTTGGGCGGGCCCCCCTTTCACGTGGAGTCGCGCGTGCCCCTCCCCAGTGATCCAACGTCTTCCAAAAATCAAGACGGAGGTTTTTCTCAATGTTCAGCCTCTAGGGGCCCTCCCAGGCCCCAGGACCGTCAAAAACGACTCAGGATGAAAAACCGGTCCCGGGGAATGGGTCGAGACTTCGGGCGACCGCGCATGGAACAAATCACGACATCGGATCTCTGGGTCTCCAGGAGGAGCATTCGGACATTTCTTCTACGGCATGGATGGTGGTGACGATGTTTCGTGTCCTGCTGATTACTTATTCATCCTGTTGTGACGCTGTCCTTGTCCTCCGGAATCCGCCCGTAGGAGGATAGGCCCAGCTGGCATTCACGTGACGTTCTGACTCAGGGGGGGGGGGGGCAGATGGTCCTTGTGGCAGCAGGGTGCCCCCAACGCTCGGAGCGTCGAGGTGCGTTTTGTTGCACTCGGGGGGTTTCTCGGGGGGGTTGGGGGTCCCGAGGCTGCCTCTGCGGATCTGCTGTTGGGTGCTTCGAGAAGCTCGACCTGGTCAGGGCCGCAAAGGGGCCCGAGTTCTTGCATGTTGTTCCTCATGGCCTGACTTTGACTGTTAGGAACGGGGGAAGGGTGCAAACCTTGTAGATAAATAACGGGGGATTGCACATAAAAGCCCGACATCCTGCACACAAGAGCCGCACACAAACCAAAGCACATCTTATTTGCATGTTCTATGTGCTGCATTTGCCTGACAATTATTTGTGATCGTTCTGTTGGCAATCTTCCGTCCCAAGGATGGAATAGACGAGCAGCAAAACAGGAGGAGGAGGAGGAGGAGGGGAGCGCAGCGGACCCTACGGCCCTGGATACCTCCAAGACAGTTCTTTTGAAGCGGGCCCCCGAAGGCCTCGAGATGCCATGGAGGCCGCCAGAGGCCCCTCAAGAGGTCCCCCAAGAGGCTTCGCCCTGAGATCCGACGTTGCAGAACAATTACAACATCGCAACAAGTAACGCCCGGCGCCCCGGACCCCATCTTTCGGCGTCCTTTTCCGAGCCCGGTCGATCTGCGAGGGTCCAGGGCCCGACATGGAGCGAGAACGCCCGCCGTGAAGAATTATGGCAACGCCAGGATCTCAGGGCAGGAGGGCCCAAAGATACCCCAGAGGAGGAGGAGGAGGAGGAGGAGGAGGCGGAGGAGGAGGAGGCGGAGGAGGAGGAGGAGGAGGAGCAGGAGGAGGAGCAGGAGGAGCGAGGAGCGAGGAGCGAGGAGCGAGGAGCGAGGAGGAGCGAGGAGCGAGGAGGAGCGAGGAGCGAGGAGGAGCGAGGAGCGAGGAGGAGCGAGGAGCGAGGAGCGAGGAGCGAGGAGGCCCCCAGGAGAACGCTGGAGAGCCCCCCCCCCAAGAGGCTCGGGGCTCGGGGGGGGGGGGAAGCGGTGCGGGGTGCGAGGGGGCGAGGGGGCCTCAGCGGCCGGGCTGCCGCCGCAGGGGCGCAGGCTCTCCAGCTGGCGGCCCCCCCCCCCCCTCCCCCCAGGGGGCTCGCTCCCGGGGTGGGGCCGGGCCAGCCTCGCAGGGGGGGGGGGCAGCAGCTTTATAAGTCGGGCCTGTCCCCCTACAGGGGGATTGTCGACGAAAAATGCAAAATACTCTAAAAATAGTTTAAACAAATAATAATAATCCCAAAATAGTCTGGGGATTATCTTTTGAGTATTTCTTGACCTTTTTGGTGTATTTTGGGGGTCTTCCTTATTTCTCGTCGAAAATCCTCCTGTAGAGGGGGACACGCCCGACATAAGAGCAGCTCCCAGACATGATGGCGTCGTGCAAAAATCAGGGCGGGAGGTGTTTGGCTATGTTCGGCTCCGGGGGGCCCTCGCCGGGCCCCGGGACCGGCAAACAACGACTCAGGACGAAAAGCCGGTCCCAGGGAAAGGGGCTCGCAGGGGCGCCGTCCTGAATAAAATCAGGACGTCGCATGTCTGGGCTCGCAGTGGAGCTACCACTACCCGCAAAGTGCCGACTCGCAAACGTCGGAAGAAGAGCAGGTCTGCATCGAGGTGGTTTCTCGGAACTCTCCCATGGCGGATCCAGGCCATTTGCGAGCAGTGGCTTTGCGAGTAGCGGAGCGCGCTTGTCTAAGCTCGCAGCGGAGCAGGCAGATGGGCTCTCCGCAGTCGCTGGCTGGCGCCCCTATGGAGGCCGCGGGGGGGCTACTATAGAGGCCACGGAGAGGCCACGGGGCGGCCACTGGAGGAGCCACTGGAGGCCGCTCGAGGATCGCGGGGGGGCCACTGGAGGAGCCGCTCGAGGCCGCTCGGGTGATTGCGAGCGGCTCCCAAGAGCGCGACAAACCATGGGAGCCCAGCGTGAGGCCTCCAGTGACGGGGTCCAGGCGCAGACCCCCTCGAAGGGAGAGTTCTCATTGCCTCTGGCCTCGGGGGGGCCCTGGTTCGGTAGCTGTGCCGTCTCTCGCGTCGACGAGCGTCGATTAGCGTCTGGGGGTCGCTGAGGTGGCGCCGATTCAGCGCCGAGTTAGCGCCGATCAGCGTCGATCTAGTGTCGATTGGCGTCGGCAGGCGTCGACCAGCGTCGATGCGCAAGGGCCGACAGGATGGCATGGGAGGCTCCCGTGAGAACTGCCACCCGCGCCTCGGAGGGTATAGAGCAGCTCGCCGTGGAGCATGCAGGCCCTGAGGGGTCCTCGGAGTGACGGGTGGGCCCGGACACGGTGTCGGGGCCATGGCACGAGGACGGAGCCGTTCCATAGCGCTCCCAGACATGCTCGCGTCGTGAAGTTTTCAGGACGTGACGCAGGTTTTTCGTTGTCTTCGGCCTCTCGAGGCCCTCGCCGGGCCCCGGGACCGTCAAAAAACGACTCAGGATGCAAAACCGGCCCCAGGGAAAGGGTCGGGACTTCCGGGGATGCCGTCCTGAAAAAAGTTGGACGTCGCATGTCTGGGTTCTGGAGCGCTCATAGAGCGTTCCGGGACGCTCTGGGAAGGCCGCGGCGCCCGAGGCATCGTCCGGAGCCGCCAGAGTTTCTCTCAGAGCTTCGATCTATCTCCGCCCGAGTTTGTCCTCGGCCTGGATTCGTCTTGCCCTGGCATCTCGTGCGCCGCATTCGGCCGCCCGCCTTCCTCTGGAGCCTCCGGAGAGCCAGGAGACGCGCTTGCAGGCCTCTTCCGGCGTCGTGGCCACGCGCGCAGCGGCGCGGCGGAGGAGAGGTCTGGCGAAGAGGCGCGCGCAGCCAGCCTTATGTCGGGCGTGTCCCCCTGCATGGAGATTTTTGACGAAAAATAGAAAGACCCCAAAAATACACAAAAAAGGTCAAAACATACTCCAAACATAGTCCCCATATTATTTTTGGATTATGTTTTGATTTCTTGTTTGGGTATTTTTTATTGTTCGTCGAAAATCCCCCTGTAGGGGGGCGTGGAGGCACTGAACACACACACACACATGTGCACACCACTGAGCCGAAGCCTCCAGCAGTGGCGAAGCGTCCTGGCTTTCCTGTAGGCCCATCGAAGAATTCGGGGGTGGATAGACCTCCTACCCTGACACGTCGACTAGTGAATTGGCCGTTTTCGGTTCGCGCGAGGGCGTCGCGGCCGTTATTTTTGCGGGCCCAGGTCCGTCGGTTTCGGTACTAGGCCGTTGTCACCAAAGGGAGGTTTACTAAAGGAGGTTTGTCCACCGCCGAGGGGGGTACGAAATCTGCTGCGTGCAGCTGGCGTCAGCCCCACCCAGGGGCCCCTTCCTCGATGCATGGCCGCCTCCGGCGCCGGGCGGCGCCGGGGAAATCGGCCGC